TCCTCCCAGAGATCATAGAAAACCATATGCTTGCCGCTCTCACGCTTGGACATGGCGCGACCAGCCAAGCACACAACCTGATGATGAATGAGTAAGCACCAAGTGAAAGGGAAATTGAATGTTCCCACATCGGCGGTATGCTGACCAGCCTCGAGGTCTGTGTACTTCTGAGTAACTTCAGCCACAGTAGAATCGACTGGCCACTTGTGGGGGTATGCTTCTCGACCAGAGGCTCGGATGGTGTCGAGCTCAGCCAAACGGTTATTCCGGTACCTTCCCAAAGCACATGTTAACCCCATCGAAGAGCCTTGCGTACTGGGTGGGATCCAAATCCTCATCGCTGACCTTATCAACCTTGGCGGCCTGCAGTAGGGACCACTTCCAAACCACACATGGTCGCGTCATTACTCACCTTCTGCGCGGCCATCTTAGCCTCGCGTTCGGCCTTCTTGGCAGCAGCCGCGGCGGCCTTAGCCTCACGGGCCAAACGCTTACGTTCGTGGGCGGGGAGCTTTTGGGGAGTCTCAGTCGACTCTGAGACATTCAATTTTTCAACCATAACTCTTCCTCAACCTCTTCCTACCGTTGGCGACTGGTGCCGCGGTGGCAGCAGTGGAATCCTCAGCAGGAGTAGTCATCAGTGAGCGATAGTGGAGTATCGGACGGAAGAAGCTTAAAGACGATCGAAGATAATGAGTGTTTCTGTAGAGAGCCGCTGTGGCCTTTGTGATTGTCAAATGCATTAACTGCCCGCAGAGCGGACAGTCCTCGAACTGACACCTCTAAACTGTTCAACACAAGGCCGAGGAGTCAGACTAAATCGACACCTTCACGACTTGCATGAGAATCGTAGGAATACTTGCCTTCCCTCATCGAGAGGACAATCGATTGAAAAGAAGAGCGCGATGACTTACGTCAATTTTTCAACTGCAGGTATGAATCAGTTTTAGTTAGCGCTCGCCCTCCCCGACAAACGGGTGGGAATCGTCAAAACCGTAGGTGTAAACGACGTCTGGAAGAGGGCACTGCCTCTGGAGATAATGGACCTCAACTGAAGGATCACAAGCTCTATTCTGCTATGATCGATCGTAACACGTAAGTTCTATGAAGATTCTCGAGCTCTCGGCAGAGACAAAAACGAATTGAGCGCACATCCAAGTTTCCGTTGAGTCCGGGAGACTCCTTATAATCCTCCCAGCCTCCGAGGAGGAAAATAATTTTACATTGAGTGCGTCATCAGTCGTAATAAAGGATGCTTTTGAATCGACGATCACTTTCATCAGTCAAGGTCTCTGTAGCTCTGCCGATTGCCGTCAATCCTCTCCAAATGCCTTCATCCATCAAAGCTGCATTGCAATACCTTTGCTTATGCTGTCTGTGCGTATACCCTGTCCAGTCCTCGGGCGTTTCCGATGAATTAGACACGCTCGATGTCATCAGAGAACGAGAAGTACTGTACGCAAGCTCAAAGAGAGACGTCGAGTACATTTTCATACCGTGGAATCCACCTGCCGTGACCAAGCGTAGCGAAGCGGTGCATCATGGCGTAACCAAATATTTCAAAGAGTTTTCTGGGAGAATCCGAAGTCATGAGCAGGGATCAGACAATCTGAATCTCACAGTGTTCGATTACATACCCTACAATTGCGCGCAGAAACGATGCATGGATGCCGACTCGGGCAGCGTTCCCCGGAAGGCACTGATCCTCCGAGTGGCGGATGGCGAGACCTCAGAATATGTGGCGGACGTTGTTCGCGACGGAACTTGTTTCAACCGAATCGAACCCGTGAGGTACTCCTATGTGAGGGCAACGAACAACCAAGTCAGCGAAGCTCCATCCCAAGTGAAAAGCGAACTGGAGGACGTATGCGCGAAAGGATTCATGGCTCTGAAGCCATCCTATAGCTTACCAGATCTCCACGGCACCTACGTAGGCAGCCGTGATGGAAGAAATCTCACGCTTGGATTTTTCCGCGGCGTTGTCATGGACGCTAAGCTGGAACTGGATTCTATCACCCAGGCCAATCCCTTCGCTACGTATGTGCCGATATGCGACGGCGTAATATCTATTATTAACCGAGGATTGGACTTCAAGAGTCTCACACTCACCGTTCTCAAAAAGTCCACAGCGTACATGGGGGTTCATTGGGTGAAGGGGCGTGACGGAGACACGGTGTTGATGCAGCGTCATCCGCTATGTAACATGGAGGAGCACGGAAGGAGGAACCTTTCTAAGTACCAGCTTCACAAGTGGGATCAGCAATCACCAGATGCTTCCATCCTCGGACGACGTCCTGTTGAGCGGAAGTGAGCGCAGTTGCGAACAGAGATGTCATTAACGTTGTGAGGATGCAACTGGATGTATCTGCAGCCTACCCGGCACTTATCTCTGTAGATGTTCAATACTTCATTTGTTGAGAGCCATGATGTCGAGATGTTGCTGGAAGCGATGCACACGCGAGTCGCGCTATGCGACAGAGGGTCTGTTGTGTTCACGAAGTAAGGCATAGTCTCCGGCTAGACGACTCCTTTCTGCATACAGTCGCTCCGATCTACATCCAAGATTCGACACCGACAATAGTTTGGCACTAGTAGTGTCGCGCTATCCCTGTGGACTCCTCACTCGAACAATGTTCGCAGCGCCTCGAGATCACCAAATGACTTTACCATATTGGGCCTGTTTCACAAGGATACTTAATTTAAGGCGCCTTAAAGTTAGGAGCAACTTAAGGAGTTACTTAAGGTATACTTAAGGCGTTACTTAAGTTTAAGGCGCAATTTGCTCCTATGAAACAGGCCCATTACTGAAAGCTCGTATCGGAGACAAGCGAGATCCTTCCGACTGTTGCAACGAGATCCGAGTGTTGAAATGGAATTGTTGGCGCGGAGTTTGACCACAGGCCCGATCTCATCCCACCTAGCGGGATATTGTTCAAATTCGTCAGACTTCCTTAGAGACGAGCACAGACCCGTCCTACTCGGTTCCTTCTATCCTCTGTAGGATCACGCTATCAGGGAACGTTTTGTTGGCACTAGGATTAATGGCTGCCCCTCATCACGATTTGGGTGGAATGAGAAACGATGTAAGCCGAATGCTATTGACGATCCAAACGAAGTGACATTAGTAGGAGTTGCCCGGACCAAGATGCCTCAACAAACACTCATGCTCCATAGAGTTCGGGAGTCCTCCTCGCAGACAGGACACCGAAGCTAGTGATAGGCTGTCTCGCTCAGTAAGTCTGCATCATCACCATGGCTCAGCTCCTCTTCTGAGGCAATCCCGTTTCTCGAGGGGGAACTCGACAGGACCTTGCGGAGTCTTCAACAGGATAGGTTGGAATTGAGTGTGGAGAACATCGAGTTGGAAGAACGAGTTGAAGTGACGAAAACCGGTGATTTCCCGATTCCGCGATCGATCTAGGAACTTCTCAACGAGCAAGCTGAGTTACGGAAGCTGAGGCTCCAGAAGCCTGAGCGACTCGGCGACCAGAGAAAGCACGAAACAAGTCACCTCGGTTCAGGGCCAGCCGAAGATCCTGAGTGAGCCAGCTTGATCGCATCCCTGACTATGGCCCATAAAATGCTCATGGCAAACATTGCTTTTGTTACTGTACTTGTTCGCAGGATCCTGCGGCGACGCAGGATGAAATTTGAGACATGCTACGCCGAGTTGGCTGAGCTGCGCGAGCAGCTTCAGTGTCTTAGTAGAGCTGATTGTGCCTCTATCGAGGATCATCGTGCAGTCGGTAAGGAGCCTCCAGAGGGTGCGAACAGCACAGATGCTACGAGGGCATTCGTTGACTTGGGTGAGCAGCTTCGAGCAGTGTGGCTTCCCTCGGAATGCTATCGATTGTTCAGGATGCGAGAAGCTCAGATCTGTCGCCACGGAGTTGGAATCCGAGATTTCTACCTTGGGAATTTTGAAGCACCGCTCCGACTTGATGTGAATATTCCAGAATGGCACATCTCACAAACCTTCTTTCAGGAAAGAGGAGGCCCGGCGGAGAACTTTTGAGCTCGCGCTGGAGAAAGAGATCCTGACGAGGAGAATCGGGCGGCTTGAAAACGATCTTCACGAGCGGGATAAGAGGCTCGAAGCTCTGCTGGTGGCACTGTCTCCGCTCCTCTTCCTGCTCTATGGTTGTGGCCTCCGTCTCCAATTTTACTTCATTTGTGATCGCCATCGAGGATCAAGCGCAATCTTGTCCCCGGTGCCATCATGAGATGCTTAGGGCGTTTGTTCAGGAGGCATCAGTTCATTCTGAAGGACCGATCAACAATGGAGATCCTCAAGCAGTGCATGAGTATATTCACCAACTCGAACAACGTATCGAGAATCTTGAGGATGAAAACGGCAGGCTCAAGTCTATGCTGGAGGAGGACAACGTGAGCAGTTCTATCTGTATGCTCTGGCTCCCCTCCCGGAAAAACTCAGATGCGCGGATCACAGTTCGACAACTTCTCATTGGATTTGGCTGAGGCTAATCCGCCGACGCTATATGAGCGTTATCAGCGATGCTTCGAGTGTACTGAACATCTAAAAAGACTGCTGAAGTCAAGCAAACCATCTCCGACGCAAAGCGAGATAAGGGCCTCAAATGGACACCGTTGCCCTTCTACCCCCAAAACTGAGCACGTTGTGAGTGATACCAAACAGGAGGTTCAATCATCCTCTCAAAATCGACTGACTAGTGACTTCAACAGTCGCACCAAGAGGGTACGAATTCATAAGCGAGCCCTGCCTAAAAGAGCCGAGACAGTAAGACTCTCTAGCAGCATGCGAGAGCCTGTGCCGCATCCGCCCTTCAAGTGACGAGATCATTACATGCGATGTGCCTTCATGAGTTCAGGCCGTATCTTGTTCAACTAGTTCAATTGTGTTTCAGAGTTGCTATCAGTCTCACCATGAGGGACCATGAGTTTCGGGTTTCTGACTACGGAGTGCGTTCACTTTCTTCCTGTGCGACAATACGATGCGAATTGCACTTGCCAATTTCATTCAGTATGTTCCCTAGTCACGCCACCATCTCGAATGTGGTACGAGTTTGTGATTGCCAAAATAAAGTCCCACTCGCTCAACTCGAATCTCAGCAGAGTCATGAGAAAATCAGATAGCGATCTTTCTGTAATACCGAATCACATAGAGAACGAATCGGCAATAGAATCACTCAGGAGCATCAACATAGCGCAGATAAGGCTTTCCACTGGGCAAGTCCTTGATCTCGAGATTCTTAAAACGCTTCTGAGCCTCCTCCGTAGCGACGTTCGGAGCGACGATAACACGTTCGCCTTGCTTCCAGTCAACCGGAGTGGCGAGACTGAAGTCTGCTGTGAGATGTAGACTGTCGAGGGTGCGAATGAGCTGAAAAGCAGCACGTCAATATCACGCTGAGTGGTACTTCAGGGAAGCACAGAGCAATCTACTGACCTCATCATAGTTTCGCCCAGTAGTAGCGGGATAGACGATAGAAAGCTTCAGCTTGTGATCAGGCCCAATGACGAAAAGGGCACGAGCAGGTAGAGGAACCCCAGCAGCATCTTTCTCGTTGGGATCCAACATTCCAAGCATACTCACCTGACAAGACGGGAGAGAATTCATCACGATAATGCAGGAGCACACCCACGATCTCTCTATCGGGATCCGCGATGATGGGATAAGACAGATCATCTCCTGGCATGTTCTGATAGGCGAGCACGTCCTTACTCCAAGCGTGGTGGTCCGGGACACTGTCGCAGGAAATGCCTGAGAGCTCAGGAATTCACAAGCCGAGCATCAACGAGAGGAGTGGATACCGATGAGCTTCACTCCGCGCTTGGTGAATTCGTCCTTGTTCTTCTCCAACTTTCCCAGTTCGGTGGTGCAGACTGGCGTGAAGTCCTTGGGATGCGAGAACAAGATCTACCAGAGATGTGCCACCACTACACAGAGATAGCGGAAGTGCTCACCGTGTACGGCTTCTTCGGATCACTGTCAAGGAACTCGTGGAATTTGAAGTCACCCTTTGTGGTCTTGCAGTCGAAGTTGGGGAATTCGGCACCGAGCTTCTGCTTGAACTCCGGCATGAACAAAGAACAACACCACGATAGTCAACTAACTGCCAATGAATAACCGAAGAACTTCAAGACGCTGCTTTAGATTGTGGTGGCACAACCGAACTAGTAGTTGATAGTCTCGATAGGTGGTTCAATTTCAGCATGAACCTGTTAGTGATAGTACGGCGAAGTTTTAGATTATCACGGTGCCTAGACAAAAACGCTGTTAAAATTGCGCATCCAGCAAATCATCACATATCATAATACGTCATGCCTAAGAACTAATCATCGTAACCTGTCGTGTTCGGTGAGCAAGGGCCAGCAGTGAGTTTTCAGTCGGCTGCAGCATCACGATTGGATCACCCGTCACTGCACACAATTCGACGCCTGCGTACACCGCGTATGCGTAATGTTGAGCATTTGTGAGTAGTAAGATTTGCCTCAATCGTAACGCGCGCGCCTGATTTTGCGTCGTAGAGGAGCATAACTCCCCGTCATCACCAAGTACGTGGACAATAGGATTCGTATGACCTCACCTTAGTGGATACATGCGTGGTCAACAGAAAGAACGGTACTGTAGTATCTAGAGTGCCACAGATCGTAGAATCGATCCAATCTAGAATCGATATCCAATCGACACGTCTATAATCTTTGCCCTACTGAATCATTTTCACACCTTGATG